GGTGTAGGGGCTGGAGGAGGTGACAGAGATAGGGAGGGGGTGTAGGGGCTGGAGGGGGTGACAGAGATAGGGAGGGGGTGTAGGGAGCTGGAGGGGGTGACAGAGATAGGGAGGGTGTAGGGACAGATGAATACTAAACCTGAAGCAATGCAATGGGCACCGTACGGAAAGTAATATGAGACCCTAAATGGGGTTTTACCTCGGACAGTGAGGAAGGTCCCTGGGATGTTTTGCCAGACCTTATTCCCCTCTCCTGTTGTCTCCACCCGACAGTAATAACGGGTTGTGTCCTGCCTTCTCAGCTGCTTTATCCGGATGGTTCCTGTCCTCTCCTTGTATGGCAATCCCAGGAATTCAATTCGCTCTCGGTATTCAGGGTGAGTGTATCTCCGTGACGTATTGAAGATAAATTCCCCGTGAAACTCCCATCTTCTCCAGTGGATGTTGATCTGTGTGGGTTTGTACCCGTCTGGGTAAGCGAATGTACACGGGATCTCGATTGATTCCCCTTCCACACTCTCCAGTCGATCTGGTTGGTTTACTGTGAAAGTATTTCCCTTTATCATCGCTGTGGGTGAGCAAAACAGCAAACAGTCATTTAGGAATCCCGAATAAATCTCTCCCAGCTGAAAACCAGCTCCCAGGGTTTCCCCCAGGGATAGAGAGACTCTGTTTCCGAAACAGCAAAATGTAACTCACTCCTGGTTATCTGTTATTCTAGACATAAACTAACACCAGAACATTTGGCGCTGGGGGTGGGGGAAGGTGGGCAATGGCCTAGTGGTGTTATCACTGGACTATTAACCCAGAGACCCAGATAATGTTCTGGGGTCCCTGGTTCAAATCCTCATGGTGTGATTTGAATTAAATAAAAATGTCTGGAATTAAATGCCTAATGATGACCATGAGTCCATCAACAATTGTCAGGAAAAACTCACCTGGTTCACTAATGTCCTTTAGGGAAGGAAACTGCCATCCTTACCTGGTCTGGCCTACATGTGACTCCAGACCCACAGCAATGTGGTTGACTCTTAACTGCCCTCTGGGGCAATTAGGGATCAGTAATAAATGCTGCCTAGCCAGCAACACCCTCATCCCATGAATGAATAAAGAAATTTGATAAGATTCCAGTCTGTAACTCACTCTTGGGCATAAGTTATCCTGTGTATAAACCACCCCAAACTCCTTGATTAGATTCCAGAATGTAGCTTCTACTGGTATGTTCCTTTGAGCCTAAAGCCCCTGAGGTACTTGATGGGTTCCTCTCTGCTTCAATTCCTGGTTCAGGACAGGTACTCTCTGTGACACAATCTTTCCCTTGGAACCCAATTTTCCAATCAATATTTTTGGGATGGGGGTACTGACAGAGGGGGTTACATGGGGACAAGCCTCAACTGGCTTCCAGACCCCTCCCCACCACTGTGTAATCCACTCTCCCTCACCCATCACCATCTGAGATCCAATACCAGAACGCTGCATTTATATATCTCCCAGACCAGCCACACGGTAATAACGAGGAGCTCTCGGTTTGAGTCTTTCATTTTGGGGATCCACAGCTCCATATGTCCTGATCTCAGCCATCGATGCTCTTCCATTTTCTACACTCCTCAACAGATTGCAAAAGGACCCACTGCCCTTAATCTGAACACATTCCTGACCCTGCTCCCTGCTATTCCCTCTCTGCTGTCTCATCTCCTGGTTTAGCAATACCCTCACAGCTCAGTTTTAATCCCTCAGCCTAGTCTGAAATGCTCAGTGGTGACTCAAAACTCGCACAGGAACCTCCTCCTGACCCTGCACCCCTCCTAATCTCTGTAACCTCCTCCAGCCCCTACACCTCTCCTTATCTCTGTCACCTCATCCAGTCTCTACACCCCTCCCTACCTATGTAACCTCGTCCAGCCCCCATACTGTTCCTTATCTCTGTTAGCTGTTCCAGCCCCCACACCCTTCCCAATCTCTGTAACCGCCTGCAGCCCCTACATCCTTCCCTATCTCTGTCACCTCTTCCAGTCACTATAACTTTCTGAAATCTCCATAGGGGGTTTGCTGAGGAGGCTGTACCTTTGGAAAATCTCAGACTGCAGTTATAGGATTCTCCCCCCAAACCTCTCCACCTCTCGCAATCTCTCTTTCCTCAAGATCCCCCGTAAAATCCCTCCCTGTGTCTGATCACTGGGATAATTCCCTTCAAAACTCCTTTGGACCCCTATCCTTTCACCAGGATGTTTCTGGAGACTGCCCTGAGGAGCAGGTTTCGGACTGAGGTCAGGAGGAACTTCTTTACCCAAAGGGTTATGAATCTGTGGAATTCCCTGCCCAGTGAAGTAGGTGACGATACCTCACTAAATGTTTTTAAGGCAAAGACAGATAGATTTTTGAACAGTAAAAGAATTGAGGCTTACGGTGAGCGGGTGGGTAAGTGGAGCTGAGTCTGTGAAAAGATCAGCCATGATCTTATTGAATGGTGGGGCAGGCTCGATGAGGCCAGATGGTCTGCTCCTTCTCCTAATTCTAATATCCTTACAATCAAAGACCCCTTCCAACCCTCAAACTCTCTTCCACCCTCCCTTTTTTGGGCAGAATGTACAACAGTTTGAATATACGTACGAACAGATCAAGAACAGCTTCTTCCCTGCTGTTATCAGACTTTTGAGCATACCTCTGAAATGTTAATTCTGATCTCTCTCTCTCTCGCTGCACCTTCTCTGTGTCTGTAACCCTGCATTCTGCACTCTGTTCTGCTACTCTGACACACTCTGTATGGTACAATCTGCCTGTATAACACAAACAGCAGCACTTTTCACTGTATCTCGGGACATATGACAGCAATAAATCAGTCCACCAACCCTGGACACTTCTAGGGAAGGACACTGCTGTTTGGAATCGTGGCCAGATGCCCCATTAGTTGCCAAGTTGGGTTGTGAGAGTTAACTTGCTTCCTTGAGGGGTCTTATTTTTCTGGTTACACGCGATAAAGTCTAAACCATTGTTTCAGAACTTGATTATCTGTGAGATTTCTTAATCAGGAGCTGAATTGAAAGCAGCTTCTGGTAATTTACCCACACCATCAGGATGAGCAAAAGCTTTGAGTCATGGAGTGGCTGGTGAAGGGAAGGACTCAGTCAGAATCAGAAGGCCAGTTGGTGACACATTGGCATAAGATTGAACTCACTCACCGACACAGAGAGACAGAAGGATGAGATGGAGAGCACAGCCCATCGCCGTTCCTGCTCTCGTTCTGGCCGCCTGCTTCCACTGATTGCAACAGAATGATAACGGGATTTTGTGAAACCCGTAGTCTTGCCAAACTGTTAGTTCTGCTTTTTCGTCTTGTTCCTGTTCGCCTGCGTTCTGGCTAAGTCCAGGCAGGAAGTGGCCTCCTCAAACTGACTCAAGAGAGATGATGGGGCAGTGCTTTTCTCACTAATTTTGAGAATTCAAATCTGCAAAGCAGCGAGGGCTGAGGGGAGGGGTTTGAGAGGAGGTTGCCAAGAATGAAGGTATTGTTGTATGAGGAGCGGTTGAGAACTCTGGGTCTGTACTCGATGGAGGATACAGCGGGATCTGATTGAAATTTACAGAATACGGAGGGCCTGGATAGAGTGCATGTGGAGAATTGAATCAAGTTCATTGTCAGCTCGAATTAAACCTTTAAAACAGATATATGTGGGTGACTCGATCGCATTGAAAAAAATGAACAGAATTTGCGTTTCTTAGCACTTTTCACTATTTTCTTTGACACACTTACCTTCATTGCTCAGACCATTGAATACAGGAGTTGGGACATAATGCTGAGGTTGGTGAGGCCTCTTCTAGAGGACTGTGTGCAGTTCTGGCCGCCCTGTTAAAGGAAGGACATTATTAAAGTGGAGAGGGTTCGGAAATAACTTACATTTTAAAATCATGGGGGGCCTCGATAAAGTGAATAGCAAAGATTTTTTTTCTTTCCCCCAGGGACGGGGAGTTCAAAACTAGGGGGACATACTTTTAAGTTGAGACGAGAAGATTTAAAAAGGACTTGAGGGACAACCTTCTCAGACAGAGCATGTGGAATGAACTGCCAGAGGAAACGACAGATGCAAGTGCAGTTGCAACATTGAAAAGACATTAGATAGGGATGTGAATAGGAAAGGTTTAGAGGGATATGGGCCAAACACAGGCAAGTGGGCTTAATTTAGTTTGGGAAACTTGGTCAGCTTGGACTAGCTGGAGTGAAGGCTCTGTTTCTGTACAGTATGACTCTATGAGGGGATATTTCCATTCATCTTCGAGCGAGCACAGCCATACAAGCCTGTGTTCCTACCCCAACCCCTCACACTCGTCCACACAGCAAACCTCCAGCACTCGGACCTCAGGACCAGCCCCTTGTGGAGAGAGAGAAAGGCACAGACAATACCACTCTCTTGGGGGTCAGTCAGCTCCGTTGGCTAAAGGGACAAACCTGCAAAAGAGAGTGACACCAGCAGCTTGGGTTGGATTCCTGCACCAGCTGAGTTGACCATGAAAGTCCCAACTTCTCTACCTTTCCCTTCATTCGAGGCGTGGTTACCCTCAGGTTAAATGCGAGAGTGCTCCTCTGTTCTGGTCGGACCGTAATGGCTTTACCTTCTCCATCTCTCTACAAACTAGTGCAGAGTAATCGGTCTGAACTCAGCGAAAAGGAGACTGTCCATGAAACCATCAGATATAGGAGCAGAATTAGGCCATTCAGCCTATTGATCATGGCTAATATGTTTCTCAACCCCATTCTCCTGCCTTCTCCCTGTAACCCTTGAACCCCTTTACTAATCAAGAACCTGTCTATCGCTGTCTTAAAGACACTCAATGACTTGGCCTCCACATCTCCCTGTGGCAATGTGTTCCACAGATTCACCACACACTGACTGAAGAAATTCCTCCTCATCTCAGCTCTAAACGATCACGCCTTCACTCTGAGTCTGTGACCTCGAGGTGCTAGCCTCTCCTACTGGTGGAAACATCTTCTCATAGATTCATTGAGTCATCCAGCTCGAAAACAGATCCTTCAGTCCAACCAGTCCATGCTGACCAAGTTTCCCAAACTAAACTAGTCCCACTTGCCTGGGTATGACCTATATCTCTCTAGACCTTTCCTATCCGTGTACCTGCCAAATGTATTTTAAACGTTGCAACCGTACCTGCATCTACCACTTCTTCTGGAAGTTTATTCCACATACAAACCACTCTCTGTGCGAGTAAGTTGCGAATCAGGTCCCTTTTAAATCTTACTCCTCTCACCTCAATGTTATGGCCCCTAGTTTTGAACTTACCTACCCTGGGGAAAGACCTTTGCTATTTACCTTATCTGAACCTTCTCCAATTTAATAATAACCTTCCTATATATTAGCAGGGTGACCAGAATTGTGCACAGTCCTCCAGAAGAGGCCTCACCAATACACTGTACAACCCCAACATAACATCCTAACTTCTATACTCAACAGTCTGAGCAATGAAGGCAAGCATGCGAAACAAAATAGTGAAAAGTGCTAAGAAATTCAAATTTTGTATGTTTTAACAAATTTGAATTCTCAAAATTAGTGACAGAAACACACTGACCATCTCTCCTCAGTCAGTTTGAGGAGACCGCTACCTGCCTGGAATTGGCCAGAACGCACAGGAACAGGAAGACGAAAAAGCAGAACTATCAGTTTGGAAAGACGGTGCAGGGCTGGATGAACACAGCAGGCCAAGCAGCATCATAGGAGCAGAGAGGCTGACGTTTCGGGCCTAGACCCTTCATCAGAAAAGGGGGAGGGGAAGGTGGTTCTGAAATAAATAGGGAGAGAGTGGGAGGCGGATAGATGATGGATAGAGGAGAGGATAGGTGGAGAGGAAACAAACAGGTCGAAGAGGCGGGGATGGAGCCAGTAAAGGTGAGTGTAGGTGGGGAGTTAGGGAGGGGATAGGTCAGTCCAGGGAGGACGGACAGGTCAAGGGGGCGGGATGAGGTTAGTCGGTAGGAGATGGAGGTGCGGCTTGAGGTGGGAGGAGGGGATAGGTGGGAGGAAGAACAGGTTAGGGAGGCAGGGACAAGCTGGACTGGTTTTGGGATGCGGTAGGGGGAGGGGAGATTTTGAAACTTGTGAAATCCACATTGATACCATTGGGCTGACTACGGGTTTCACAAAACCCTGTTAACATTCTCTTGCAATTGGTGGAAGCAGACGGCCAGAGCGAGAGCAGGAACGGCGATGGGAACAGTGAAAAGTGTTGTTTTGCATGCTGTACAGGCAGATCATACCATACAGAGTGTGTCAGGGTAGCAGAACAGAGTGCAGAATGCAGGGTTACAGACAGAGGGAAGGTGCAGAGAGAAAGAATGAACATTTCAGAGGTCCATTCAAACATCTGATAACAGCAGAGGAGAATCTGTTCCTGAATCTGTTCGTATATATATTCAAACTTTTACATCTTCTGCCTGACGAAAGAGTTTGGAAGATAATATGAGAGGGCTAGGAGTGGCCATTTGATAATAAGAACATAAGAAATAGGAGCAGGAGCAGACCATCTGGCCCCCCTGAGCCTGCTCCACCATTCACTAAGATCATGCCAAATCTTTTCATGGACTCAGCTCCATTCACTCACCCGCTCACCATAACCATTAATTCTTTTACTGTTCAAAAATTTGTCTAAAAACTTTAAAGGGGTAGCGTAAACTGCTTCATTGGGCAGGGAATTCCACAGATTCATAACTCTTTGGGTGAAGACGTTCCTCCTCAGCTCAGTCCTAAACCTGCTCCTCAACGCAGTCCCCTGAAAGATCCTGGTGATAGGACAGGGATCCAAAGGGGTTTTTAAGAGAATTAACCCAGTGATGACACACAGGGAGGGGTTTTAGGGGGGAACTTGAGGAAAGAGAGATTGTGAGAGATGGAGAGGCTTGGAAGGGGAATCCCATAACTGCAGACAAAGATTTTCCAAAGCTTCAGCCCCCTCACCAACCACCCCCTCCCCATGGAGATTTCAGAGGGCGATAGTGGCTGGAAGGGATGACAGAGATAGGGAGGAATGTAGGGGATGGAGGAGGTTATAAAGATAGGGATGGGGTGTAGGGGCTGGTGGAGGTGACAGAGATAGGGAGAATAACAGAAACCCAGGAATGAGTTACAGATTGGAATCTAATCGAATTCAGGGTGGTTTATGTATAGAAGAACAGATCCCTGGGAGTGAGTTATATCTTGCTGTTTTGGAAACAGAGTCTCTCTATCCCTGGGGGAAACTCTGGGAGCTGGTTTTCACCTGGGAGAGATTTATTCGGAATTCCGAAATGCCTGTTTGCTGTATTGCTCTCTCACAGCGATGATAAAGGGAAATAGTTTCACAGTAAACCAACCGGATCGACTGGAGGGTGTTAAAGGGGGATCAATCGAGATCCCGTGTACATTTGCTTACCCAGACAGGTACAGACCCACACGGATGAACATCCTTTGGAGAAGATGGGAGTTTCACGGGGAATTGAACTTCAATATGTCTCGGAGATACACTCACCCTGAATACCGAGAGCGAATTCAATTCCTGGGATTGCCATACAAGGAGAGGACAGGAACCATCCGGATAAAGCAGCTGAGAAGGCAGGACACAACCCGTTATTACTGTCGGGTGGAGACAACAGGAAATGGGGAGAAGATCTGGCAAAACATCGCAGGGACCTTCCTCACTGTCCGAGGTAAGCTCCGATTCCCTTCCCATTGACCCGATGCAGGGGACAGTGATCTCAGGGTCAGTCTGTCCCAGACTCAGGAACGTGTGGGATGTTAAAATTCAACCCAGTCCCTGCAGAGACACTAACACCCCCACCCCCCCCCCTCCCCCGGGTCAGAGACACTAACGCCCCCCCCCCCCCCACTCCCCAGGGTCACAAACTACACACCCCACACTCCCCAGGGTCAGAGATACTGACACCCCTCTCACTCCCCAGGGTCAGAGACACTGACACAGTCCTCACTCCCCAGGGTCAGAGATACTGACACCACCCTCACACCCCAGAGTCAGAAACACTGACAGTCCCCTCACTCTCCAGGGTCAGAGACACTAAACCCCCACCTCACTCCCTAAGGTCATAGACACTGACACCCCTCACTCCCCAGGGTCAATGTCTCTGACCATCCCGTCTCCCCAGGTTCTGCCCTCTGAGTGTATTTCCTCCTGTTTCTCACTCCAGCCTCGGCTCTTTCTCCCCCTCCTGGTCCCACATTATTGAGCCGGATTCCTGTATTTGAACAGCACAGAGATCAACGACTACGACAATATCGGTACCCTCCTCAGTGAGTGCATCCTCCGAGCACAGCGCAGATGGTGAGGACCCACTGGCTCAGGGTCTCATCCTCATCATCAGGGCGGTCATCGCTTTCACAATCCTGGCAACTCTTTGGCTGGTTGGAATTTATCTGATGAAGAGGAAGGAAGTTACAGGTAAGCTTGTTATCTCAGACCATGTCGCTGTTTGCCTTTACACAGACAAGTGCAATGTTTTTATTAAAAAGCACACTGGGTCCCTGCATCAATCCAGTTTTCACACCAAAGTATAAGACGGTGGAGCACCAGAGCTTATAATAATCTTAAGCCACGCAAGGACAAAGGAGCTGCATCCCAGAGTGAAGTGAGAGTGACAACCATTGACATCAAGGCTGCATTCAACTGTTTGTGGCATCAGGGAGCGCTCAGAAGCTGTAATCCATGTGTAACAGGGGCAAGATTGAATCAGAGATAGTAGGAACTGCAGATGCTGGAGAATCCGAGACAACAAGGTGCAGAGCTTGATGAACACAGCAGGCCAAGCAGCATCATAGGAGCAGTGCTTGGCCTGCTGTGTTCATCCAGCTCTGCACCTTGTACCAGGGGCAAACTGTCCGCTGTTTGGAGTCATACCTAGTATAAAGGACGATGGTTGTCACGGTCAGAGTTCAGTCATCTCAGCTCCGTGAGGATTTCCTCAAGGTACTGTCCTCGGCCCGTCCATCTTCCATTGCTTCCTCAATCCCCTTCCCTCCATCATAAGGTCAGAAGTGGGGATGTTCGCCGATGATTGCACAATGTTCAGCACCATTCGCGATTCCTCAGATACTGAAGCAGCCCATGTTCAAATGCAACAAGATCTGGTCAATTTCCAGGCTTGGGCTGACAAGTGGCATCTAACATCACACCACACAAATGCCAAGCTATGACCATCTCCAACAACAGACAATCCACCACTGCCCCTTAACATTCAATGGTGTTACCGTCACTGAATCCCAACCCTCCCCCCCCCGCCCACTGTCAACATCCTGGTGGTTACCCTTGGTCAGAATCTCAACTGGATTCACCACATAAACACAGTGGCTACAAGAGCAGGTCAGAAGCTGGGAATCCTGCAGTGAGTAACTCAACTCCTGCTTCCCCTCAAAGCCTCTCTATCATCGACAAGAAATAAGTCAGGAGTGTGATGGAATACTCCCCACTTGCCTGGATAGGTTCAGACTGAACAACATTCAAGAGGCTCGACACCATCCAGGACAAAGCAGCCCCCGCTTGGTTGGCACCACATCCACGAACATCCACTCCCTCCACCTATGATACTCAGTTGAACTGCAGCAACTCCCGAAGGCTGCTTTGACAACACCTTCCATGACCTCTTGAAGGCCAAGGGCAGCAAATACATAGGAACACCGTCACCTGCAAGTTCCCCTCCGAGCCATTCCCCATCCTGACTTGGAAAAATATCGGCCGTTCCTTCAGTATTGCTGGGTCAAAGTCCTGGAACTCCCTCCTTACAGCACACAGGACTGCAGCAATTCAAGAAGGCAGCTAATTCCAATCTTCTCAAGGAGCAAATAGGGACAGGCAATAAATGCTGGAGCAAGCCAATGACACACATGTACCAGGAGTGTAAAGAAACTTCGGGTAACAAATGCTGATTTGTCAGCTTTGTCCTCCTTCCATGAGTCAACATTATAAGGATCGATCCATGTACAGTTGGGATGCCTGGCTGCTATCTTTTGTTCTCGCGACATGGGATTTTTTCAGCTTTACTCTTTGTTGTCAATTTCAGAATCCGCTGATGGAAACATGTGAGGAGAGACCAAGTGAGAGAACATGGGATCTAATGGGAATTATCCTTAAGAATTCCTGGAGCAAGGGATTTAATGGCTTACTGTGTCCTACAGAAACTCACTGTCACACAACTGGCCCATACTTTCAACAGATGTCACCATGCAAAGCTGATTTGGACCTTCCCCTTTTGGGTAGACATTGTAGACTGTTTGCTTTGCTGCAATGTCTAACCAGTCTCTGTTTCCTGGGGAAATAAACTCTGTTTGCAGTGCTTGTCTGATGTGAAATAGTGTCCACGTGCTGCTAAAAAGGTTGCTTCCTGCTCCTATTTATATTCTTTCGAGTATAAGACCTGACATGGCTCCAGCTCATGGGCTGACCCTGTGCCAATCAGCATTTCCGTGAAACAAGTTGCAAAAAGTGAGGACTTCCCTGTCACAGAAAATTGATTGAGGCCTAAACGTTGAATATTTGCAAGAAGGAGTGAGGTCCAGTACTTGGGGCTGTAGGAGATCAAAGAGAATGGGGAAGATCGCTGAGTTGGATGATCAACCATGATCCTATTGAACAGGCTTGAGGGGCTGAATGGCTTGCTCCTGTTGCAACATTCTATGTTTCTATGTGTCCAATGTAATACAACATTGTCACAATATACTGTTTTATTAAAATATTCTCATTAACTTAGTTTTCCGAGGAAGCATCACTGAATATTATGAATTATGCATGTGCACAATTTTAAGCTAATTTTTGAATCTTAAAATTAAAGCTCTCCTGTGTTTTTCTGTCACTGTATTTCTGTCACCCGATATCCTTTTCCCATCTGTCGGTATTTGTAGCTGTTTTTGCGACAGATATCTCTGATTCTGTGTCTCTTTTGTGTCATCAAGCGGAGCATTTTGATAAATTAACATAAAGTAATCCAAAAAATCAATGGCCGCTGTAATCATGTGACCAGACTTCTCGATGACCTCCCAGAATGCTCTCAGAAGTCGGCACCAGATAGATGTTATGGACCAGATCAGACCCCCTCAAAATATTTTAAGAAGGTCACCTAGACCCAAACTTTTTCTTATTTTAAAAGCTAATGTGAGCTGCTTTGTTCTAGATGCAATGTGAATGGTCAAACTACACGATGTTAAGCAAAACACAATTTATTTCAACATTGTCATCAAAATACAACAGAAGAAAGAGGAATTTACAATAACATAACTCTACTGGAAACTTAACAGAGTACTCGATACAGTACCTATTACAAATTAACTGTTCTAATACAGTAACATCCCATAAACACACCCCTTGGCAAAAAGGAAAATTCAGACACAGATTCTCACATGCAGTTCTCCAATCCAGGAGGAAAAAAACATCAAGAGAAAATTCAGAGAGAGTAGCAGCCAGGAGGCATTCACTGAAGCTTCCAACTCTTTAGGGACCCCAATAGTTTCTGATGCTGCTCAGAAGTCCTGATCTGTGCGAGCTGGCCACACCCATTCAGGCTGCATTAAAAAAAACTCAAGGCCTCCCAAGCTGTTTCCTCAAGTTGTCTTAAGTAGGCAGCTTAGCGCCTCTGCATTGCAACCTCTTCTCAAAAGAAAACAGCATAAAGTAACTTCTTAAAGTAGCGGCATCGTCACATTTCTAGGACTAGCCTTTATACCCACGCTATACCAAGGAGGTGTATGACGGCAGAATGGTAGGCTAGTCTCGGTATCAATGATCTCAAAATTGACCCTCCCCTCTCTGAAGGGCTGAGGGATCTTTTTTTAATAAAAGCGACAAATCGCGGTCTCTGCTCTCAGGGAAGGTCTCGATGTTGACGGGGACAGGTTTATATTCCTTCGGAGGTTGTGGCGGGATTTGAGCCGAGGTTCTGACCCTGGGGGTCTCTGGAGGGTGGGCCCAGCTTTATTTTTCCCAGAGGTGTCTTTTAGGGGAGGGGAAAACGCAAACGGGGCACATCCGGTAGGCAGCGACGGAGAAAACCCTCCTTCAGGCTGGCAGGATCTGGGCCTCTCGCTTACCCTTAGGCCTCGGCACTCTGTGGGGCAAGGGGAAAGGGGATGGGAGAGGGGGTTAAATCCGGTAACACTCCGGCTGGAACCACACGGCCGCATACAGAAGGTCCCCGTCCCCTCGCAGGGCCTTGTTCCCAGTCTTCGGGCCTTCTCCTCCTCCTCCGGCCTGCAGAGAGGTGGAGGCAATTCCTTCTGGGTCGGCGAGCTGGCAGGGGTTGGGAGGGTAGAAGGGGGGTGGGGAGGGGTAGGTGAGTGATCCCGTTGGGAATTTCCCCCAAACAATCTCAAGGAGGGGTCCGGAGTTGGGGAGGAAGGAGGCAGGAGAGGGGGAAAGTCATCGGTTCATATTGGCTACCTTTTGCCCCTACCCTCTTCTCTCATACCCTCTCCTCACCTCAGAAATGGGGGTTTGGGGTGGGGGGCGCGATAAGACCAGGGAGTGCGTTCCCCTGAAATCCCTGCAACACCCACCCTCACATGCTGCCCCTCCCCTGGCAGTGGGGGGCATCTCCCGAAGCGACCTGGGTCATCGTCATGGTGACACATTGCCACCTGACATTGTGCTAAACAAAAGACGCAGAGAATAGGCCATTCGGGCCTCTCAAGCCTGCCCTGCCACTCAGTAGGATCACGGCCGATTGACCGTCTCGATACCCTGTTCCTGCTTTACCTCCCCCGACCCCTTCACACACAGGCCCCTGGATCCCTCAAGCCCCCACTCATGTTCCCCCAGATTCCAACAGTGGGCAAATCCTTTGGCCTAGCCCCAAACAGTCAGGTTTCCAGGCCAACGCTAAAAGGAGAAGGTTCCGGAACATTGTGGCTGAAATTCCGCGTTCTGCCCCTGCTCCCCCAACCACCAAAATGAAAAACCTTTAAAGCAGCAACACTGGGCCAACCAAGACCTTCCGGGGGTGTCTTGAGGTCGCGGAAGATGCGATGATAATGAAGGCCTCATTCTGTGTCGACAGCACCATTTGGACATGTGCAGGGCTGGGAGTCAGAGGGACGTCTAGTCGGGTTGGGGTCGGTGAGCTTGGCCAGTCACCGAGGGGCCTCAGCCGTTGCCTGATGAGAGCAGGTAGGGGTTTCACAACTCCGTGGGATTATGCTCACTGGAAGGCCGGGACCCTAGGAACACGACAAGGCAAGACTCCAAAAAGGGGACGTGACAAAGAGGCATGGGAAGACTCCACTGTTCCAGCCGCTTAGCGAAAATCACAGCTGAACTTTGACATCAGTCCCATACTGATGGGGCTCAAAGGGCTGAATGGCCTACTTCCGCTCCTATTTCTCCGTTATCCCATCAGATTCCCGAGGGCACCTCTGAGAAATGACTCCCCACACCCCGGCCTTGCCATTTCCTATTTCCCCATCTCTCGAACTGTCCATCTCTAGGTCCTGCCTCACCAGCGGGCACTGTGGGGCACTAAGATCTGAAAGATTGAAGGCAGATGGCACACTCACATCTGAAACCCTCTTGTCCTGGCTGCCTCAGCACCATTACAATCTGAAGGGCTCTCATTTGCTGCCTCCAACTCTTGAACCAAATGGCCAATGACAATTGGCAAGTCGACTAGATGAAGCATCGTGCCTGGGACTGAGCAAAATGCAGGGGCTGGGCAGGGTCAGTGAGAGAGCTTGCTCACTCTA